GAGTCAACTGCTGCGTCTGCCCTAGTTGCTGAGCTCGTCGACTTTGCTGCCCGCTGTCGTCTAGACTACGCTGCTAGTCTTGTCGCTGAGTCTGAGTCTGTCTGTCCTCCGTCCGTCGGGGGTGAGTGTGCCCTTAGCACGGACGTCCTTGAGGACAAGCAGGTGGAGTTCAAGTGTTTGGCTACTGCTTCACCTCATCTCGTGTCCGTACTGCTTACCCCTGAGGGAGACCCGGATGCACTTGACATCCCGACTCCGCGCTCTTACGCGGAGGCGATAGAGGGTCCCTACTCCTCTCAGTGGCATGCAGCTATGGACACAGAGATGGCTTCCTGGAAGTCCACAGGCACCTACATTGACGATGTTCCCCCGCCTGGGGCGAACATCGTCAGTGGCATGTGGATTTTCAGGGTGAAGCGGCCGCCGGGTTCTCCGCCTGTCTTCAAGGCGCGTTATGTGGCTCGTGGCTTCAGTCAGCGGCAGGGAGTTGACTACTTTCAGACCTTCTCTCCCACCCCGAAGATGACCACTCTTCGGGTACTGCTGCACATAGCTGCTCACCGTGACTACGAGCTGCACTCTCTTGACTTCAGCACAGCTTTCTTGCAGGGCAGCCTACACGAGGAGATGTGGCTGCGTCGCCCACCTGGCTTCACAGGGTCTTTTCCTCCTGGCACCCAGTGGAGCCTCCGGCGACCAGTCTATGGTCTCCGCCAGGCACCGCGTGAGTGGCACGACACACTGAGGACTACACTTGCGGCTCTTGGGTTTGCTCCCTCTACTGCCGACCCGTCGCTGTTTCTGCGCACCGACACTTCTTTGCCGCCGTTCTACATCCTCGTGTACGTCGACGACTTGGTCCTTGCCACAGCTGACACTGTTGGACTCGCCCACGTGAAGTCCGAGCTGCAGAAGAGACGCACGTGCACAGACCTGGGTGAACTGCGCAGCTACCTTGGCTTGCAGATCACCTGGGACAGAGCACGCTGCACCATTACCCTAACTCAGTCACACATGGTGCAGCAGGTCCTTCAGCGCTTCGGCTTCACGTACTTCTCGCCTCATACCACTCCTCTGCCTACTCGCCACTCGCTCTCAGCTCTGCCTTCGGATGAGTCCGTAGAGCCGAGTGGCCCGTACCCGGAGCTTGTTGGCTGCCTCAGGTACCTGATGACCTGCACACGACCTGACCTTGCATACCCTCTTAGCATCTTAGCACGCTATGTTGCTCCTGGGAGACACAGACCAGAGCACATGGCTGCATCAAAGAGGGTGTTGCGCTACTTGTGCAGTATGTCGGGCATGGGGCTTGTGCTTGAAGGGCAGAGTCCAGTGGTCCTCACTGGGCACGCAGACGCTTCTTGGGCTGACGACCAGGCTACGCAGCGGTCGTCACAGGGTTACACCAAACTTCACGGGTTGGAAACATCAAACTCATCAAGCACTCATCAGCGGCTCGAGATACCGAGCTGCCGCCCATACCGCTCATTGTCTGCACAGTAAACACGGTCAAAATTTCACTGACTTTCCGTTCAGCATGCTATCATGGGCGTAAGATAAGTATAATTTCTTGGGTAAAGTTGTTGGGCAGTTGAGAGCCTACTTCGCAATTTATCCAGGGCAGACTTGTACGCCTGCCTGTACAATGTCGCTCTACAAGTGACATCCAATTGTTTTTTCGAGTGCTTTTCATCTTGCAAGGGATACTACGTACCGGAAAAGTGATTAGGACGTGTCACTGTTCGCCTCTGATTGCCCCGATCAGAGTCGATTAACAACTTCCGGGAAGCTAGGGTGGCGATTTCAGGCAATCGGGGGCAATCACTTGATCGCGATCATTGATCACCCCAACTCCATCAACCGCCTGAATCAGCACAATCAAACGCAACCCCATACAATCATCGACGATCAGCTGATTGCATTGGCTTGGGGTACCAAGCGACGCCAGCGAGAGGTTACGGTGTTGTGTTGGGTTTCGTGAAGCCCTCGCTCAAACAATCACCCTGGCAACAACTTTCTGAACCAGTAATGGGGGGGAACCGGTCAGGTCGGGCGGCGCGGGTACAGTAATCGGGGGCACCCTGATCAAATCAACCCCAACCAGATCACAGCCGATCAGAGGCAAACCGTGACACGTCTTTAGGGAAGGGGAGGAATTGGGAGTCTCGATGTTCGAGAGGAGGTGGTTGTGATGGGGCAACGTGAATATTTTGCAGAGATTTCTTTGTATTTTATGCTCAGCATGCACTGTTGACTATGCACAGCCTTGTCTGTTTTGTCAAAACCTATATTTGTAACTGCCTGTAGCTGTAGTTAGTGTAGTTATTTAAATCTGTAGGTGGTGCACCTCTTCACTTGTTTCCTTTGCTATATGTACTTCGAAATCTATAGTGAAATCATTCTTCACAATTTTCTCTTCTCAACTCACTCGAACTTCTCCCTTGGCACAAAACCCGCTCGACACCTAATCTCGGGCCTAGGCTCCTAAGCCTAGGCCCTAGTTTCAATTTAACTCTACATCCTCGTTCACTTCTTCACATGCTAACAGAGCGACTTTCGTCCTGGCCTGTGGGCCTGCCTCATGCTTCCGCTGCTACGCTTTTTCGGTCGCGCGCCTAGGGCGCGTGGCGATTTTTATTGTCCCGCCCTCGGTTGGCGTGTTACTCCTCCTTCTCTGCCCGTCGCGCGCCCCGTGGCACGCGACGGTGCCCTAAACCTGCCCGTCGTGCGCCCCGTGGCACGCGACGGTGCCCTGCTCGTCGTGCGCCCCGTGGCACTCGATCGGGCCCATAAACTTAAACTTACCCGTCGTGCGCCCTGTGGCACGCGACGGGCCTTTCCGCACCTGCACTCCCTGCAGCCGCCCCTGACCTATCAGCGCCGACACAGTGTAGCCGCTCTGCGGCTTTCTTCCCGCCCACCCCCTCCTCCTTTGTATCCCTGCAGCCGCGGGGAGGAGGGTATGGGGGTGGCGGGTGTTGGAGTGTTGGGTCGACTCTATCCCTTCCCCTCCTCCTCCTTTCATTCCCACCGCTGCAGCTGCCGCTGGGGGGGAGGGTGTGAGGGTGTGGGGGAGCAGGGGGAGTGGTACCGGGGTGGCGGGTGTGAGGCAACAAGCAGCCGTCCCTCCACCTCTCCTCTCTTCCCCCCTTCTCTGCTGCTCCTGCAGCAGTGTGGGGGAGGGGAAGGAGGAGGGTGAGGAGATGGAGGGGGTGACCAGCTAGTGTCAGCCCGCCTGCATTACCTGCTGTTGCTTGCTTTTTATTATTTTGCATGTGTACACCTGCAGGTTGTATTCTGCACATACTCCTGCTGCAGGCAGTTATGGGGGAGTGTCAAAACCTATATTTGTAACTGCCTGTAGCTGTAGTAAGTGTAGTTATTTAAATCTGTAGGTGGTGCACCTCTTCACTTGTTTCCTTTGCTATATGTACTTCGAAATCTATAGTGAAATCATTCTTCACAATTTTCTCTTCTCAACTCACTCGAACTTCTCCCTAGGCACAAAACCCGCTCGACACCTAATCTCGGGCCTAGGCTCCTAAGCCTAGGCCCTAGTTTCAACTTAACTCTACATCCTCGTTCACTTCTTCACATGTTTTCCCAACAGTCAACTTTGTACAGTCTTAGGTCAGCACTGTACAGTGTTCCAAGTGGTTGTTTGTCTTTATTTCGATTCGGCTCGGAGCGATTCTGAACACCAACTTTGTGCTCATTCTCATTTTTTTGGCCTCACAAACATACCGTATGGCCCCGGATATAGGCGCCGGCCTATTACAGGCGCCGGCGCTTCTATCTGGAGCATGGCGCTTATGGCCGATCCTCGATTATAAGCGCCCTCCCTGGAAAACCATTACTTATTATAAGCGCCCCGTGCGTTTTTATTTAAATATAAGTTTAAATCGGTAACGAATTTCAGTTTTGCAGCGAGTCAAGTTTCATTTTCGCTTTGTTTGACTCGCGAAGACCTGACTGGCTGCGCGTCCACTCAGGATGTGCTGGCATGCCTGCAAAGTGACGCGAATTCGCCCGTGTACAGGAAGCAGAATCGCTTGCCCGCGATTTTGCTTTGTGACGCTATAATAGTTCGACTCGTTTGAAACTGCTACAACGAAAGGTACAGTTTGGTACCTTTAAAGTTAAAAATTGTATTGTCATTATATAAGCGCCGGCGCTTATGGCCGTTCCTCAATTATAAGCGCCACCCCTGAAAAAAAAATAACTTATTATAAGCGCATATGCGCTTTTATCCGGGGCCATACGGTAGTGCAAATTGGAAATGGGTGTCTAAAAGAAAAAGGAAGGGTAACATATCAGGACATTGTTCAGAGATGTCTGTACCGTGATCCGCGTGAGCATAAGTGTTGCTCAAATTTCGCTAGTTGGAATGGAATGATGGGGTTGACTCTGCCACATTACACGTACACAACTGACTCAGCTAGGTTAAAAACACTTTTCCATAAATGCTCGCCGTTGTGGCATCATCACCTTGCCGCGTCGTCAAACTCTTTCACACGCAGCATGGTTATGCTGCGTATGACCTGACCCGACCTGACCTTGTCATTTTACTCGCTGTCGCAACACGTCGTTATTTGCGCTTACCTGCCCCCCATCCGCGCCACCACAAGCAGACATGTGATAGCGCGATGCTATGCTGCGTGTGACCTGGCCTGACCTGACCTTGCCATTCTACTCTTTGCTGTCGCAACGCGTCGGTAATATCTTTGCGCTTTCCTGCCCCCATCCCCGCCTCCAGCAGCAGACATGTGACAGCGCGGAGTTAACCCACCAACAACAATAGTACACCCACTGCGTAACGATCGGCACTAGTCGAGCTCCGGGTGATACCTCTTGTGAGTTTGTTTGCACAAGTCTTGGGTTCCAGAAGTTGTGACATGCAAGAGTCCTGTTTTTCCTCCACACACACCGACTGATACAAATTTGAATCATGCGCAAAACCGCGCGTCGCTCCCTTGGGCCAGTGTGGCCACTCTCTGCCAATGTCGCAGCTCGCCTTCTCCTCCTCGCGGCCCTCGCTCTCCCTGCTGTCACGGCCTGCTCCGTTTCCAGCGCCAACCGCGCGGCACTGCCTCCTCGCCGAGATCATGGCCCGGCGCGTCACGTGCGCAAACAGCCCCTCCTGTCTCGCCTAACTCGACCTAATCGCGCCCGACGCTCCCTCTTAAAACTCAGCGCTGCCGCCGCCGCGGCCGGATCGAGCGCTGCGAGCCCTGTCGTTTTGGAAGGCTCGCAATGTGAGCTGGTTGCGGCTCCCAGCTCATTAGCGACACCCTCCCCCGCAATTGGAGCTCCGGTTCTCACGGAGTAGAGGTTTCGAACCACACGCCTGCCGTTCAAGCTCGTATTTCACGCTTGCACGGGCGCAAGCAGACTTTCCCTAAATCTGCTCCGAGTTTCCCTAATACCGGCACCGAAAGCGCCTTTAACGTAAATATGATTCTTCCTCCCCCTGTGCCGGCAGTGAAGGCGCTGGTGCAGCTGAAGGAGGCGTGGGGCATGTGGGCGGGCAACAGCAACGCCACCACAGCGTGCTCTGCATGGACTGGCATCACCTGCAGCCCCAACGGACTCGTCACCGCCCTGTGCGTCCCATTGCCGCCCCTCATTGCCGCCCCTCACTGCCCTCACTGCCCTCACTGCCCTCACTGCCCTCGTTGCCCTCACTGCCCTCACGGCGCTCGTTGCCCTAATTGCTGCACGGTGCTCTGTTTTCCCTTTGCCCCAAACCCCCCTCCGTTGCCCCATTATCGCCCGTCGGTACTCTCGTCGCCCTCCCATTCATCACCTGTACTCTCGTCGCCCCCCAATGTGCATCGCCCCCAATCCTGTACTATTTCCGAATGGGCTGGCTTTTCGATTGTGCGAGGGAGAGATGGAGGAAGTCGGATTCTGGACGGGGAGGATGGGGTTGGGGAGGTGGGGTGGTGGGATCGAATGGACTGGATACTGTATTGCGTGCATGCATGGTTGTCCTGGCAGGGATTCAAAGCTATTCCCTGAATTGGATCCTCCCCTCAGTGGCGCCATACCCGCCTCCATCTCTAGTCTCGCCGCTCTGCAATACCTGTCCGTCACCACCCACCCACCCTCTCCCTCCCCTCCATCCATCGTGCATGCACCATGTCTTACCGTCCTTTGCCATGCCCAACTTGTTCATGCGCTTGTGCTTTCACTCTCTTATATCAAATGCCTCACTCCTGCCCCGCCCCAACGTCGTCACGCTCAGTCCTTCTATCTCATCCCTCGCCTTTCACACACCACAAGTAATCATCTTCTCCTACTCTTTTACTGTGGCCATGATTAGGCCATACATCTCAAGCGTCAATTTTATTTTTCCGTTGGCTTCTCCATTTGTTCTTCCTCCTCCCACCCCCACAGCGATCTGACCTACATTGATTTGGTGGGGCCCATTCCATCCCTCGCCACTCTCACCAGCCTCACCCACCTGTACGTGCCACTCATGCTTCCTAACCAAAGATGTTGACTGCTGGTCCATCCAATATGCCCCATCCACATCCACCACCCTAATTCACTCCTCTGGACCCCATGACCCCATTCAATCTCGATCTTTTTCAGACCTGAAGGGATCTCCACTTTTTCTTCCACCACTTCACCAAGTGATTCGTTATTAATGTCCCCTTTCTTTCCTCACAACCATTCTGCCGTACTCATGCCCACAATGAATTTCATGGTCCCATGGCATGAGTAACCTATGCTCACTGAATTTGCCATGTTTACCCTGCATGTGTTCTATTGCTGTGTGCATGACACGTGTGCACCCAGAACGATTGGGTTGGATGGGAGCAAGCTGACTGGCACTCTGGACGGACTGGCTTGGCTCTCCTCCCTCACCAACCTGCAAACTCTGTACTCCCTGTTCACCCTGGCTTGGCCATGCAAACCATGTTCACCCTGCAAACAAGGTCACCCTACCTGTGGTTGGCACCGCATTGTCTTTCAGCCATGCATTTCGCATCACTCCAGCAACCCATGCAGAAGTCCCATGCTCCTATTGTACAACAACCGTGGCCTCTCGCATGCCGTACTGCCCTCCCACCACCAGGGGTCTAGAGTACTTGGCTGCATTCACGGGGGACTTGTCCTCTCTGCACATTCTTTCTCACCTGAAAGACCTTCAAACTCTGTAAGGACCAGTACGGTGCACAAACGTGTTTCGTGTACATCCTGTTTCTATCTGTAATCTTCATGCCATCGTCCATTCTAATTGACAGTGACTGACTCTTGCTGATCACGTGTGCATGAATACAGGAAAATAATTTCGCTCACCAACGCCACAGGGGAGATACCCAGAGAGATTCGATATTTGACAGCCCTCACCGCACTGTAAGCTGCACTCATGTCCCAACCCAACTTGGAACAAACAAACACTATTGTTCATGTTCAAGCGCTAATTTTTGTAGTCAACATGACTGCAGCTCTTTGCAATTTATATGTTTCATGCTCTTACCGATCCCTCCCTGCAGAGACCTATCCTACCTTCGTGCCTTGGAGTTCCCTGATTGGGTCACTCACCTCTCCAACCTTCAATACCTGTGAGATCCTCCTATTTCTCTCCTTCACCTCGTCCTCTGCAAGGCTCTATAGACATCACTTTGACTGAGCTTGTCTCATTGATGAGAATCTTGCCGGCGTTGCCTTGTGCGCAGCAACGTAAACACGGACGATGAACGTCGGCAGGGCCTCTTGAAGGACGACATCTCTGAGCTCACAGCACTCACCAGCCTGTGAGTTAAGCAGGTGCAGAAGTGCAGCAAGCACGGTTGAGTGAAGTTCTTATCTTAACCAGGATTGTCCGGTTTCCACGCTTCCGTAACAAGGATAAGAATTCTACACATGTTGCCCTGCATCACATTTTTCACTCTACTCTTGCTGTATTGCCCTCTCGAGTAGGCACTCACCACCAATCCATGACCCCTGTCAACTGAAACGCAGGCTTCCATCTGTTGCCTGCTCCCATGCTCGGCAGATCCATCAGAGGAAACAACCTGGAGGGCTACCTGTCAAAAAGCTGGTCCACGCTCGTCAATCTGCAGGAGCTGTGAGTCACTGCTTGCCCGCACCTTTCTGGCATGCAACATATCTATCATGGTTTCGTGCTGGCCCACTTCCATGCATGCTGGTAGCAGCACAGAATTCTTGCCACTGCACCAAACCAATGCCCATCCTAACACTTGCGGGCATCTTTTGATGTGGCAGGATTGTTTAATTTCGTTCTTGTGCCTTTTTTCCCTTCAGACATTTAGGAAACAACCGCCTCCAAGGAACCATTCCGGCAACATTTTCAGCCCTAACAGCCCTATCTGTAATGTGAGTGTCCTTTGTGCTCCCAGCTTCCCATTGCCTGAAGCCGATTCTGTCTCTGCCTGTTTCTGTCGTCTCTTCCTCAATTGATCGTTTTCCCATGTGCATTTGCAGAGACCTCTCACAAAACTCTCTTTCTGGTTCGCCTCCAGCATTCGGAGCCAGCATCCAATCAATGTATGTGAATCTTCTTTCCGCCTCATGCCCCACCCTCACCTTGACGCCAGCCTCTTCTTTCTCCACATGTCGTAATTCAGCTCCTGTCCGTTTCATCCTTTCGTGCATCCCTTGCTGAACCATGTTTGCGTACCTTCCTGTCCTCTGTCGCTCGTCCTTTGACTTCTTCTGCCTATATACCATCAGTCAGTTTCCTTTTTGGAATGGAAGAATATTGCACCCTCACAGAAGGTCGCGATTGTACCTGATAGCAATGTTCTATGTTATTCGGACACAAGTGCTTGTTACTTTCCCCCACGCATCTGCTCGTTTCACTTCACCCATACCAGCATACTCCTCCCCCTACGCTCCCCCCTCTCCCCCCACCCTCTCTCGAATGGTCCTTGCATTACTATGAGGGGTGGTACAAAGGAAGATGCAGAACACACAAGCACAACAAACATCCAAACCGAGATCCGAACTACCTCAAGTCTCCTACCTACTCAGCCCCCCCCCCTCTGTCCGACCCTACTGGTCGAACGGGGCCTCAATCAACTGGTGCAGCTGTCCCTCACTGAGAGGGATGATGGGTCCTCTAAAGCCGAGCTCGTCCGCCGCCAGGGCCTCGTTGGTCTTGGTGCGGAGGGCGTTGGCCTGCGCCCGCTGGAGGCACACGCTCCAGCGCTGGCGGTACTCCGTCAGCAGCTTCGCTGCTTCGTAGGAGGTAGGAGCCGCGTTAAACCGCAGCTTTGCCGCCAGCTCTGCGCACTGCCGCAGGTAAGCCATCACCCCCGGCGAGGGGTAGCCATAAGTTTCCACTGCGAGCGCGTGGAACCCCACCCACGCGTTCCGCCGTGCGTACTTATCCTCCTTTTTCTCTGCTGCCGCCCTGGCCGCCCATCCAGGAGCTCGGTTGCAGTTCTCGTCGTGCCTTGACACCGGGTCCGTCACGGTCACGTCGCACATCCAAACCTCACCAGTCAGGGGATGACGGATGGTGACATCCGCCTTTAGGTTTTCAACCAGTGAGTAGACATACGTTTCCTTGTGAACCGTAAACCCCGCCTCCGCCCCAATGTTCGCTACCTCATCCCGCAGAGCGTGGTGGGTTGCGGTCCTCCCTTTCCCCTTCTCGCAGCGCATGAGGTGGTTGGGGAGGCGGTCGTCGGGGAAGGTGGTGTGGTAGCGGCAGTCACAGCGTCTAGGCACGGGGAGGGGGAGGCCTAGGCGGAAGGCAGCTGCAGTTGAGAGCTGGGACGGGCCCATCTGGAGCGAGGGGGTGAGCGGGATCGCCAGCAGCCAATCCCCCGCGCCTGGGCCCAGCACTGACTGCATCCGTTGCGCGTGGCCAGAACGGGGGTTGGGGCGCATCCGCCTCGCCTCGCGCATGACTCTCAGGAAGCGGCGGGAGTGAACCGCCAGTGCTAGGTTCTGCTGCAGCTTCAGTCCCTTGGGGTCAGCCTTCCCGGCCTGGAGCACCTCGAGAGCCTCGGGGGGCAGGGCTGCCTCAGCCGCGGCGAGGCGTGTAGGTAGCGCGTGTGGGGAGCCGTGGGTTGGATCCAAAAGGGGGAGGAGCGCGGCGACAGCGGGGTGCAACGAGTCCTCCAGGGAGTGCAAGAGGTGGGCTGTGCTGATCACTGAGGCGAGGTAGGCATAGCTGCCTTCAACGGCGGGGTCAGTGATGCCCAGGCCTCCCAAAGTCACTGGCAGGGCCGCCTGCCGCCAAATCCTCCGTCTCTCCCTGGCGCTCCTCGGCCTCATGATGTGGGCCGAGTCTAGGAAGGTGTGAAGGAGTTGTTCCCCCCAAGCGGACCATTCGGCTTCAGGGAGGGCCTCTAGGGGGGTGGTTCTGGCCAGGAAGGAAGCTCGGCGGCTGACACAGCGGGTGAGGAGGAGGAGGGCAAGTTGGGGGTCCATCTGGGCCAGCAGAGGGAGAGGCGCTGCTGCTGCTTCCAATCTCGCTCTCACAGCATCTGCGCAGCCTCGGGCAGTGCCCACGGGGCTGCCGAGAATCTGCAAACCCTCCTCAGAGATAGTGACGCCTGGGGGGACTGAGGAGGCGTCGATTGCTGCGGTGGGCCACGCAGCGCACTTAGCCGGATTGTGCACCAGGCCGAGGGCGGCTAAAGCAGAGGTGAGGTGGTCGAAAGCCGCAGAGCAGGCCGTGGCGTCGCCGAGCAGCGTGATATCATCGGCGTACGCCAGCAGGACCACCTGAGGGTGTGCAGCCGCCGTGTCCACGAGGCACGGGTGGATGCTAGCCACGAACAGGAGTGGGCCGAGCGGGTCTCCTTGGCGAACACCCCTGGCGCTCTGCAGCGGGGCTGCGCCGAAGTCGTGGTCGAGGAAGAGCGAGGAGGGAGTTCCATAGGAAAGGCGGACGAGGGGAATCAGTTCCTTCAGCGCCTCGTTTTTCAGTCCTTCAAACACCGCCCTCCTTTCGACCGCGTTGAATGCATTCGCGAGGTCAATCTGCAGCGCCACTGCCCCTGGGTGCACTTCCAGGTACGTGCGAGCGGAGTGGATAGCCGCTTCGATCCCTCCCGCTACTGCGACTCCGAACTGAAGCGGAGCAAAGTGAGTACGAGCGGCCGGCGCAGTGAGGAAGAGCGCGGCTTTTGCTCTTATCCGGAGGAGGCACTCCCCCACCGCAATCAGCCGCGTCCCTCCCTGTGGTTTCGTAAATGCTAACAGGCGGGATGCCGTTAGAAGATCCCCCGCGACTGTGGGGAGTTTTCCTGCTAGAGCTGTGTTAGTGAGGGCGAGGAGGTGGGTGAGTACTTCGGCGTTGCCCAGGGCTGCCTCGCGGATGTGCTCGAAGGTTGTTCCAGATGGGCCGGCCCCTACTCCGTTGGGGAGTTTGGCGAGGAGGCGTCTGAAGTCGCGAGCTTCGATAGTGGGTGGGTCTTCCGCTGTGGCGGTGCGGAGCCAGTCAGGAAGTGGTTGGCAGGCGGATGGGTGTCTCGTCGTGAGGGCTTCCAACACTTCAGGTGAGGCGGGAGACACAGGAGTGGCCTGGAGGGATTGGAGTGATTTTGACAGGTTACCCCATTTTGCGAGTCCTTCTGCCCGTGCCAGTATCCCCGTTGTGTCAGGTGAGTGGCGAGGTTGCGGTGGCAGTGAGATCGCCTGGACAGCTTCTTCGTACAGGTCCCCCCAAAGGCCTTGGCGAAATCGCTGGAGCCGATTCATCATCGCGCTCCAGTCAGGTTTGCGGGCTGATGAGGTGCGGAGGAGTAAGCGCGGGAGAAAAGTCAGTAAGTTCCATCCTGGTGGAGACTCAGGATTGGCCGCCAGGTGGAGTAACGGAGCCAACATGCAGATCGCGAAGGAGTCGCGAAGGTCTTTGGGGGGGTGGCGAGCGAGGGGAGGTTGGCGACTGTCGCGCAGCGGGTCGAGGTTCCAGTCTGCAACCTGAGCGAAAAGGTCAGTATTTTTTGCCAGGTCGTCAGGTTTGAGCGTTGGTGGGGTTGGGGAGGGCCCTGCAGAATTATCATTGGCTGCTGCAGAGTCAATTCCGTCTTCTGTCGCGGCTCGATTTCCCCCCCTTGCACGATTTCCCCCCGCGGTTCGATTTCGACCTGTGGTTCGAATTGCAGGTTCGTCCCGGGCCTGATGGTTTGGAAACTCCGCTTCCCGAAGTGGCATCTCCAATTCTTCCTCGTCCTCGGCTTTTGCTTCCAACATCCCCTCTCTTTCTGGGTTAAAAACAGGGTCACCCCCTTCGCTTTCTTCATTCTCAGCTTCGTCCTCTGCCTCCTCGCTGTGCTCCTCCTCGCCGCCTTCCACGCCTTCGCGTATTAGCCTTTCAACAGTTCTCGCGTAACCGCTTGCGCCGGTGCGCCGCCGATTTGTGCCGCGCGCTCCTCCACCTCTTCGTCCCCTCCCATTCCCTCGTCGTCCGCGGCGGCTGCTGCCGCGTCCCACGCGGATACCCCGCGTTCCTCTCCCTTCCGCGGCTCCCACGCGCCCTGCATGCGGCGCCACGTCCACCTCGTCCTCCTTCTGTCGGCGCGCTGGCGTCGGCTGCGGTGCGGTCGGGGGTGATGGATCCATCCGCGAGACGGGATCCGGAGCTCGAGGGATCCGCGGAGAGCGCGTTGCCGGAACCTGCGCCTGGCGGTCTTCGCCCGCGTGTCCCTGCGCACCCCTCCGCAAGCGAGCCCGTCCGCCGCTTCGACCGGGTGCTGACTCTTCCCCAACGGCCTGCCCCGCGCCCCACCTCGCCGGAGTATTCGTGGGCCCCTGCGCGTGTTGCGTCGAACCGCCCGGACGGTCAGCCGCGGCAGGAGCGCGGGCGCTCGCCTCTGCGTCAGCCTCCGCGGCAGCCTTCTCCTCGGCGCCCATCTCCTGAGCATCGCGAGGCTCATCCGCGGGGTGGGGGCGATCGGCGATCCCCTGGGCGTCCTCGTTCTCCTCGCCGCCCGTCTCCTCGTGGTCGGGCAGGCCAGCGCTCACCCCGAGCGCGATCCCCCGCGCAACGGTCTCCGCGGCGATCTCCGGCGACGAGGGGGAGGGGGTCGCCTGGACGTCGCTGGGATTCGGGGCGTCGCGAGCAGTCCCCCCCGCGTCCTCACTCGGCAGGTTCTGGCGGCCGGCGAGGCCGGCGGAATGGCGGAGGTCGTGGCGGTAATGGTCGCCAGCAGGATCCTGCCCTTGATCACGCCGCAGACACGTTTGTGGAGGTGGTGCGGCAGGCCCGGGCGAGTGGGGGGCCGACTCACGTCCATATAGAGGTGACCAACGGTCCCCCCTTAGTCGTGGACCCCGGCCAGGTTGCTCCTCTGCGCGCGCCGACGCTGAGCGAATATCGGCCCGCGCGAGAGGGGAGGGCTCAGTTCCGCACCCCCCGTCAGGTCCCCGGCTTCTCTGCGTCGCGCTTATCTGTTGGCCGAACTCCAGGCTGGCCGACGGCGTATCCGCGCGAAGCGCCGACTGCACCTCCCCCCACTCGCGCGGGGAGAGACCCCATGCTGACCATGTGCCGGATTCTGAATCTAGCGGAGGCGTGCGAGGTGGTGGCGAACTTGCAGCTGGCGGTGTGTGGGGCCACGCGGAGCCTTTCGAGCAGTTTCGGTCCAGGATCCCGAGGATCCTGCGTGACTTTGGCAGAATCGCTCGAGTCACCGTTGGCACCCGTGTCGGATGCGCCCGCCGGGGTAGCTCCCTTAGCCCGTACTTTCCCCCGCCACGTGGGGGAACTTGTAGGGGCTGCTCAGGCCGGGACCCCCTTGGACACGCTCCAGTCGTCGGCGCATCTCCTTCTTGCAGTATCGGCGCGCATGCGCTCGATGCTTGAGGTGGAGGGGGCGGAGCCGTACACCATGTAGGCCTCCGCCGCGTGTAGAATTGCATGCCGCGCCTCTTGCTATTGCCTGCCCCCTTGCCTTGTGTGTTTGTATGCCCTTTATATGCCGAACTCGCGTCTTGTGTCTTGCCACCCATAACGCGCGGCCCAAGGCCGCCGGCGCGAGCCGCTGAATGTGAAACACCAACGAAATAATGAGGTAGGGAAGGCATGGAGGGCCCTTTAAATAGGACCAGAGGGAGAGGGCAGAGGGAAGAGGGAGAGGGCTGGATGCTAAGGCCTTCTCTCTCTCTCTCTCTCTCTCTCTCTCTCTCTCTCTCTCTCTCTCTCTCTCTCTCTCTCTCTCTCTCTCTCTCTCTCTCTCTCTCCCCGCCAACTCCCCTCACGCAACTTGCTCCAACGGTCCTTATACTCGCAATGACACCTTTCTGTGCATGTGACTTCTGGTCGCAATGAATGCTGAGTCGTTGCCTCACCTGTCCTGCCTGCCTATCCAGATTGCTTGCATACAATTCTTTCAGTGGACCCATCCCACCACGCCTCGCAATACCCAGCCTCATTGAGCTGTGAGACCCACTTACTTACGCACTTGTCTTTGACCCTCCAGTCCTATTGCCCTCTTGGCCTCCCCTTTCTGCATAACCCCACTCCTTGCCGGTCCATTCCCACTCCACCGCCCTGTTCAATGTTTCCTCTTGGGCTGCCCTGGCTGGCTGCAGTCAACTAACCGACAATCAGTTCACAGGAGGCATCCCTAAGACATTCACCCGGCTTACTGGCATGAGTTCTCTGTACGTCTCTCCCCACACTGTGGTCCGTCCCTTCATTTCGTTCTGTACCCATTGCTCGAAGCTATTACTAGTTAAGGGAGTGACTGAAGCACCGCATTTGCTACATAGCATCACGGGCTACTGGCCAGGTCATAGTGACGAGACCAGTTCAACTCGTCTCGTTTCTACTATGTATCGGCCGAGTAGCGAGGCGAGCCGAGTAAAAATCGGCCAAGATGTTTTGGGCCTGTGCCTACCCAACTCATAAGACGCCATTTAGACAAGTTTTTAAATAAACTCGGCCGAGCGATCTTTTTTGCGGTTTGTTTTCTATCCCGCGTGGAAAACTTGGCTCGACTAAGCCAAGTTTTTTCGACCCCAACAAGTGCTGCAAACGAGGAAAGCCAAAAGACCCGCTTCGTTGGCCATGTCTAACTGTTGCTCTGTGCCTTTTCTTACCAAGTTACTGCGTTCCCAGCCTTCTCCTCGTCTCCTCTATCGTGTGTGTCTATGCCTGCACAATTTGTCAGAAACATTGAGCTCAACCATCTCAGCTCAGGCCTGGACGTGGTGGCTCAGATGACATGGCTCACAGATATGTGAGTATTGTATCTCCCCCACTCGCCTCCTCATCTTCCTGCCATTTGCTGCTACATTGTTCTCCCTCGCCTTTTTGTAACCTTTCCTGCCTGCAACATGTGAACCATTTCCTTCACTTATCAATGGCTTTGCAGATACCTCTATGCCAACAACTTCTCTGGTGTGTTTCCAGCGTCCCTAACAGCAATCAAGGGCCTTCAATCCCTGTGAGTACATTCTATTCATCTCTCACTCTATCAAAGTCACAATCCCTTTCCTCGCACCTACCTCTGTGGGAGAGATCAACAGCGAGGGTTGCGACTGCCCCACTATAAAGGGCACCTGAATGATATTGAGCCCCTCTTGCATTAACTGGTCTCTTTATATCTTTTCGTAGGTTCAAGATAGACATGTCACATGAGCATGGGCCAAGTGGACTTTTTTCCCACTGTTGGCCGTAGGGCCTGAGGCGGTCCCTCCCAGGTGTAGCCCCCCATATTCTGTGGTTGAGACACGCCAGTCCGGGCCTCTTTGCGGCCCCTGTTGCCCGAGCTAAACAAGTGGCAAGTAGATATTGAAGACAACCTTTTCAATAAGATCTTGAGCCTCAGTTGCCTGAGTCGAAAAAGCGGGGGAGGAGTGGGCAGAGTGCCTTGATAATTCCTCTGCATAGTCGCATGCACATGCTCGTTCTAACTTCGTGTTTACTGGCCTTCAGTCGGTCCAGGCTAGGCCAGCCCCACCTAGGAACATGCGCGTTGGCTTGTACGTGAGCGTATGGAAGTATGCTTTTACGTGAGCGTATGGAAGTATGCTTTTACGTGAGCGTATGGAAGTACGCTTTTACGTGAGCGTATGGAAGTATGCTTTTACGTGAGCGTATGGAAGTATGCTTTTACGTGAGCGTATGGAAGTATGCTTTTACGTGAGCGTATGGAAGTATGCATATTCTCTTCTGCATGCATGGGTGCTCATTATCTCCTACCAGATGTAACGCTGTCCTGCTTCAGGTTCGTGAATGACAACCACTTCACTGGAACCTTCCCCAGTTGTATTCTACAGCTTGAGAACCTTAAATACCTGTAAGGTCCTTTGTGGCCTTGAACAACGGTAGGTTGCACGGATGGAACAAATGCTGCCATCTTCGTCAAATTTGTAAGCATGTTTCTTCTGGTAGTGCCCTTGAAACGGCTAACGTGGTATTTTGAATGGCTATGGCAGGGAATTAAACAACAACAGCTTCACTGGAACAATCCCCAGCGATCTGTCCAAACTTGTCAACCTGCAGGGGATGTGAGTGGTGCCACTGCCTTAGCCAGCCAGCACAAGCATGAGCGGTTGGGGGTGCACCAGTTGGGATCTTCAAGGGGTGGGAAATACCCTTGAAGGACTGCCAAGCAGAAGCGGGTGTTGCGGAGGAGCCTCTAGCAATTCGCCCATGCTGTAGGCATTTGCTTCTGAGACGTGTCTAAACATTTTGATGCCCTTGACAATATTGTCCAGTAAACTCAATGACAACAATTTTCGTGGAAATATCCCATCCGGCTTGTTTCAGCTCTCCATGCTGGACACACTGTAAGTAGCTCCATGGCTCCCCTCCCATCCACCTGTTTCCCAGTCCTTTTGTTTTATCAGCCCCTTGCCGCAGTGACCCCTGCCTAATATGTGGATCTGCATCTGATTATGAATACACGTATTTTGAGCACAACTCGGCCCCGTCACATGTTACTGTGCCAGCTCCGTTCCAGATAAGGGTAATGCTCCGCCCACTGCTTGCTTTTAGAAATTCGCTGCATCCACACAATCTTTAGCTCCCATCCCATTTCCTAGCACCTGAATGAAACCGCTCCTTCCCTGCATTTCCCCTTACTCCCAACACAGGAACGTAGCCAACAACTTCCTTTCAGGGGGCCTTCCATACACACTCAATCCCTCGCCTTCTCTTTCTACACTGTAAGCAGTGCACCTTGCACATTCGCTTCTTAGAGTGTATGCACTGGTAGTACTCTGTGTGCCAGGGCGACACGTTTCTGTTCATGCTTTACTCATGCTCCTTGAACTTCCAATCTCTGCACTGTGCAGTAACTTAGCAGGAAATGGATTCACGGGCCTTTTAGCAGACTTCTCACGCTGGAACGTCAGCTGTGCACAGATGTAAGCCTCCCCACGCCTTCCAGCTTCCCGATCTCGTACCCAAATCCACATGAGAATGAGCCGATTTCAGTCTACTCGTCTCAACTCGAGCTGAGTGAACCTTGGGTCGAGCTGAGTTTACCATCAGCCCAGCCCAACCTGAGACTGGAGTTCTTGTGCTGATTTTGGAGTAACTCTAGGGAACGGGGCACTGGCTGAGTCGAGCCGAGCCGATCTGGCTGCAGTAGAGGCGAGTTGGGTGAGACAAGTCAACAATGCGCATGTGTTCCCAATTTGTGCCACCTTCTTCCATGCTTGCGTTGCGGCTCAGAGATCTCAGCGGCAACAACTTCACAGGGTCGATTCCCGACTCCATCTCCACCCTCACCACCCTCGAAGCAATGTGAGCCTTCTTGGGTCGAATCGAAACATGCCTGTCAACACCTTCTCAACACCCAGTCAAATTAGCTTGTGTTGGAATGTCATCTTTGAACTTGGACTGGTGGGAGAGAGCTGCCAGTGGAAGCACATGCGCTCGCAGTGCCCATATTCTCGAGGCAGCAGCTTAATCTGCAATTCTCTTCCCATGCCCCTGCAGCACCCTCAACAACAACCAGCTGACAGGAACTATCCCTGCTGCCATTTTCAGCATGACGAAACTGAAATACATGTGAGCCTCAAGTCCTCATTCAGTGTTTGCATCCCCTTATCAGGTGCCCTTTGATTGTTCCCAGCTCTGCCCCATGGCACTTTCCCGCATCAACCCTCAGTGCTCTTGCCCAACCTCTAGTTTGAAATGTCTCGTCTCCCTGTGATTACCCTCCAGCTACATGGCCAACAACAAGCTGAGTGGCAGTCTGCCAGCTGCCATCAGTCGACTGGAGAAGCTCGAACAGATGTGAGGGTGCTATCTACCTTCCTCATTACGCTTGTCATTGCTGAACAGGTAGGCCGCACAAGAAAATGAAGCAAATTTTGGTCATTGTCTCCCTTGAAGATAAGGAAGAGAGGAACAAAAAAACGTACACGTCCCCGGTGCCAGCCTTTATTCATCTTGTTCATTGTGCCACCTTTGGCACCTCTGTGCCCGTGCAGCTGGCTGGACAACAACAACATCGAGGGCCCTCTGCCAACTAGCCTGTGCTCGCTGCCCGCGCTGTGGCGCATGTAAGTGGTTGTGGCGTTTACGAGTGTATGCCATACATGAATGAGAGATTTGGAGGCAAATTTTCAAAGACTACGTCCAATCCGGGTTTTAAACCACTTCTAGCAGAGACTATTGCAGTCTATCATCGATTGAGAATGAAGTTTGCGTGCATACTACACTCCTGAGTTGGATTGTAAGGAAACTACACTTGCTTACGGCATTCGAAATAGAAGTGGCTAATGCTGCGATATGATGTGTTGTGCTGCTGGCAGCATGATGAGCAACAACTACCTCTACGGACCCCTGCCAGACTGCCTCTTTGACAAGTGTGTCAACCAAATGTGAGTCAAACCAGCTTCTTGAAGCTGAGGAGCTTGCACCCTCAATGGGGTCACCATTACAAAGAGTGGCAAGAGGCATGCGTTCACTGTGATATGGTATGTGGCAGTGGGATTACATTCGAATACTTAGAGCCAATGTTTGTCCTGTGGTCCGACCCCCGTGTTCCTCACAGCGATGTGAGCAACAACAGCCTGTACGGGCGCATCAACCGCAACTTCAAGAACATGGTGGCGGATGGGACTGCCCTCATCAACTTGGGTCACAACTTCTTCTTCGGTGATGCCGTGCTCTTTGCTGCCGGCTGCCAAGTCTGCCCTATGGAGATCACTGAGCCCAACAACCTCGACATGGGGGACACCTTTGATGTGTTTGCCGGCAAGTGCAATAATCTCGCAGCTACTGGTTTCCGAGATTATTCGGTGGCGGGGGCAGGCAAGGAGGCGAGGGTGAGTCTGTCGGGCAACTGCCTGACGCTCAGCGCGGACGCAGAATGCTCATCAAACGCCACCCAGCGCAGCACGGCAGCCTGCCAGGCGTTCTGCAGCATCACGGACAACGGCCCGTGTGACGGCCATGGGGAGTGTGTGCCGCCTGCCCCCGCCTCCACCTCCAACTTCACCTGCCTCTGTGATGCCGGCTACTCCACTATCGACTTGGGCAACGGTTCTACCTGTGCCATCGTCAACTCCACCACCACCACCGGTGAGTCCTTATTGCAACCATGTAGATGGTGGTGTGCTGACATTCATCTCACTCCAAAGCTATCCTTTTCTCCCTTGGTCATCCTCACCATTTGCCTCTCACCCCACCCCCCCTCCCCCCCTCTTTCACCCTACATCCCGTCACCCCATAAACTCCACGTGCCCCTCTACATCCCACCCCCCTCCGCAAGCCCTACTAACACCCCTTCTCCCCATTCTCAACCCCAACCGCAACCCCTTTTCCCGTATTTGGCAGTGTCCTCCCTGTCCACGGGCGCCATAGTGGGCATTGCTGTGGGCTGCTTTGCGGGCTTCACCCTGCTGGCTGCTCTGGTCGCTTGGCTGCTGTGGCCCCGCGGACAAAGTAAGGCCCCAACTCTCCCATTGCTGCACCTCTTTCCTGGCCTCTTTCTTTGCTCCCTTCTCTGCCACCATCCGTGCACCACAAATTGTCCCCCATACTTGGTCGCTGACCCAGCCTCTCTGACTTTGTGTGTGCACAGAGAAGTGGGAGGGGCTGGATGTGTGTGAGCAGTTCTCAATACATCAAATGGCGAAGGCCACAAACAACTGGTCGGACGACAATGTGCTGGGCAAGGGTGGCTTTGGCATTGTCTACAAAGGCCACTCGCCTCAGGGCCAGCTGTGGGCTATCAAGCGCTCCACAGTCATGACCAACGACTTTGAAACAGAGGTGTGACATGCCTCACTGTTTACAACCTCACTGTTATTTTCTTTCTTGAATGCATGTGTTTCCATCCAGCGTTTTCATTCGATGCAAAGCAAACCAACAGATTTAGTGGTGCATTTTGGGGGGTTTTGCCTGCAGGTGCGAGCAATGGCTTCTCTCCACCACTCCCATCTTGTTCGCCTGCTGGGCTTCTGCCTGGACCAAAACGTGGAGACGGGCAAGCAGGAGCAGATCCTTGTGTACGAGTTCGTGGGCAACAGGGACCTAGAGTACCACATCCACTCGACCAAGAGTGAGCTTAAGTTGCTCTTCAAAATGGTTAATATGCCTTTTCTCTTCGCTATTTATCTGACACAATAAGGCACTGTTATTTATGTGAACATGTGTTACACTCGGCTTTCATTATCTTCCCGCCAGATCCACTATCGCTGCGCCAGAGGTTGTGCCTAGCCAAAGGAGCAGCAGAGGGCCTGGCGTACCTGCATGGGTTTGAAACACCCATCATTCATCGCGACATCAAGCCGGCCAACATCCTTGTGACTGCCGACTTTCAAGCCAAGGTGGCTGACTTTGGGCTGCTCAAGCTCCTCACTCATGGCGATGCTGACACCACACGGGTGGCCGGCACTCCGGGCTACGTGGACCCGGATTACAACCGCACCCACATCATCACTGCTAAGAGTGATGTCTTCAGGTTCGCATATTTGTTTTATTGTACAGTGGAATGAGAATGGGCAAATGTTAATAGTTTCTCGTCTTTCTTTTTTCATTTCACTTCATTAACATGTTTGTGTGTCACAATCTCCAACCGTATTCCCCTGTGTCCAATTTCATGGCTGTTTGCAGCTTTGGCATCGTGCTTCTAGAGTTGCTCAGTGGAAAGTCACCTCGGGTTATGAAACACTCGCATATTAGAGATTGGGTACGACCATCAATGTCAAATCTGTCTTCCACCTTGTTCATTTACCCGCACACAGTGATCACAGTTCCTCTTTCATGATGTCCTTCAATTCGTTCGCCCCTTTATCATGCTCAGTGGCACCTCCTTTCTCTTTCATCCTTCTTTGTCTGTTGCCCCCCAGGCAAGAAAGAGGGTTGAGGCGTTTGAGCTGAGCGAGCTCAAGGACCCCAAGATGCATGCGGTGAGTGAGGAGGCCATAGTGGGCTTTACAGACCTGGCTCTCGACTGCATGAAGTGCCCAGGCACGCTGAGGCCGAGCATGACAGACGTGGCATACCGCCTCACTGCCCTCATTGAGAAGCACTGCCCCGACAAGGAGGAGTGGGAGATTATTGAGAAAGAGGAGAGTGCAAGCAATGGAGTGATGTCCTCAAGGAATGACTCTGATTTGTCTTGGAACGGTGGGAGGGATTCTCAGATGTCTTCTGACTCACATCCCAGTGCGATCTCATCCATCAGCATTGGCTCGATGGCTGATGGCGTTAGGAGCTGGCTGCATCTGAAGCCCACCAGAGGGTACTAAACTGGCACATAAGTAGATTTTGGTTTGTCGGCATGACAGTAGGAAGCTTGCTGAGTTAGTTTGTAGTAGGGAATCTCCAGTGTGCTGCCTTCTTGATGGGGGGTGGTTATGGGAATGATGCACTTTTTTTCCTTCATGGGATGTCTGAGAGGTGATTATTGGTTATGACTCAGTGATGTAATGTTATGCCCACCAGGGCTAATTTTTGGTTTTGAGCAACCCTTATGATCAGTGCTGCACCTAAGCAAAAACCTGATTATCAGTGTGACCCGGTAGGAAATTTCTTTTGCATCAGGGTTCAGGCTAGGTTTGAAAATTTTACCCTGAGGCATCAGTGTAAGACTTGTAAAAAACCTGCTCAGTTATTGTTACAATGAGTTTAGTCCGAGTTGAGTCCTTGGCGTTGTGTAGAGCGAAACTGTATTTCTGGCCAATAGTGGTCCACTTCGTGCCAACACATGTACGCAAATTCAGGTTTTGACAGTTGGCCAACGGGAATCCCGAGTTACGGGAAAGTGGGGGGAGGTCCGGGGAGGGGGGGGGGGGGGGGGGGGGGGGTGTGGTACGGTACTAGCTTCAGGGTAAAACTCGCTAAGAAGAACGGTTACCCTGGTGCATCAGTGTGCCTTAAACGTATACCCTGGCTGATCAGGAAATTCACAGCTCCAAAAAAAATTACCGAGGCATCAGTGTGACTACCAAAAACCACCCTGATAATCAGGGTATCAGGGTGATTTACACTGATAAAATTTGGCCTGATGCCCACCTACCCAAGTATGGTATGCTCCAACAACCTTCAAGATTTGAGAATGCTCCAATTACTGTGAGCAGCAAATGCAACAAACAGCCATCAACCCCCCCTGCAGAATTAGGCAAAGAATGTGGGCATGGGGCCGACGCAATGCACACAAAATGGTCCAGCGGTGTCACTCTCTTGCTCTCATGCTTCCCACTCAACGTTTGCCCCACTCTACTCCTGCTTTAACCTTCCGTCGTATCCCTCACATAATCACATTCCACATGCCACACTTGACCGTCACCTCCCCTCTCCCTGCCACGATGTGGACTAGCCAGTGGCCACACTACGCCGAAGTGGCAACTATGGTCTGGACTCTGGATTAACCCATAGCCAACACAGGGTCCATCCGTTCGTTCTCCAGGGTTCCGTTGCCTTCTCCACTTTTGATTAATGCACTCACATCAATGTGCTGGAGTCCATTCCATTCCATTCATCCACCTGTTCATTTCTGCCTTCCGCGATCCAAAAACAATCTCACGCCTCTATTGATGTACCAGCTACAAGTTGATTGATCATTGAGACTATATCCATGAGTATCAGGAAGATCAATACCGTCATCACCCGGATATAAGACTGTTGAATAGTAGACAGGGGTTGTCTATTATACGGGTGTCTCTTATAAACGGGGTAACCTCATTATAAGACACCTATTTGTGTGTAGAGGCAAATGGCAAATGTATAATGAGGAAGTATCTTCTAAACGGATTTTTGTCCATTTATAAGACTGATTTTTTTAATGTATGAGATAAGACATACATGTCTTATATCCGGGCGATGACGGTAGAAAGATCAATGCAGTTGCAGCTATTTTTCCCTATCAACCATTAACCTTTCACCTAACCTGGACACGAGAGCAGGTGGTACGCCAACACCAAAAAGTAGCCCAACAATTTACGTATCAATAGCTTATTCTCTCAATCCTGAGCAAATCGTTGGCCACCACTACCACAATCACCTTCACCCTGCCTTCCATGCCGTAAGCCCCGTTTGCACTGCAGATTTGAGAATGACATGCATCTGGAAGGGCTTCAAGCTGGTGGATGCGACGAAGCCAAAGAGAAATTTTGTCTCTTTCACTCCAGGCTGCAGCACCGCACAGAGCGAGAGGTCCCGCTTCAGCAGTGCCACTTCTGGCTTCACATTTGAATCCGCCAGGAACACCTTGATGGTTCCTGGATTTCCAGGTTCGTAGTCCACCCATGCCGTGTATGGATCGCCGTTGGTCAGAGTGAATGGTGATACTCTTGAGTCCAAAAATGCATCGATGCCCTTCGTCTTCAACCCCACACGCTGGCTGGTGTCATTCAGCTTGCGGTGCCCAACTGTGTTGAATTCAATGGCAATACTGCGAGCTCCCACTCCACCATAGCCAACACCACTAGGATTTCCCACCTTGACCTTTTGAGCAATCACAAATGCAAATCCGTTGTTGCCAACTGTGCCACCCTGCGGAATAAGGTAGAAAGTGAAGTTGGCACGGAATGCCAACTCCACGCCGCATCCTGGGCTTGAAGCAACTGGGTATGCAAAGAGGGTCACTGGCTTTGCCATGAACTTCCCCACTGTTTCTTGCTGCGTCCCTTTGGTGAGAGTGGTGAATATGGGGAGAATAGATGTGCTGGTTGAGAGGAGTCCATCCCAACCTGAATAGGTACAAAGAATAAACAGAAGAGCACAAGGAAAGGTAGAGAGTGGTTGAGAACCTAGGGTGACACACGTAGATCAGCAAATGAACTGCAAAACGCAAGTCACCGAAGAGTGTCATGTCATCCAACAGAAGCTATACAGATATTACTGCTATCATTACCTTGTGCTAGGGATGAGCAATATGACGAACTCCTGTTCGGTTCGCCTCGAATTTTTTTTTGGCCTAAATTGTTCGGGGCGAACGTGTTCGGTGTTCGCCCAAACACGTTCGCCGTTCGCCCGGCTCAGCTCGCCGAGGCGCGTCGAACACGAACGTGTTCGTGTTCGACACGGGCCTTCGACAAACACCAATGTGTTCGTCGACGAATAGGCCCGCGACCAATTTTTAGGTCGCGGGCCTTGGTGTTTGGGCTCAGATCTGGCCTTTCGCAGTTAGTAAAGTGCAGATCTAGCATTTCGCCATTGCTTAAGTGCAGATCAAGCATTTCGCCGTTGCTTAAGTGCGGATCGAGCATTTCGCCGTTGTTTAAGTGCGGATCGAGCATTTCGCCGTTGCTTAAGTGTGGATCGAGCATTTCACCGTTGCTTAAGTGCGGATCTAGCATTTCGCCATTGCTTAAGTGCGGATCGAGCATTTCGCCGTTGCTTAAGTGCAGATCTAGCATTTCGCCGTTGCTTAAGTGCGGATCTAGCATTTCGCCGCTGCTTAAGTGCGGATCTAGCATTTCGCCGTTGCACGCTGGCACTAGATGGATGAAGCAGGGCGGGACTGGCTTGGGAGGTGGGGGGAGAGAATGTGCGACGATTTGATTTTTACTCTATATTGAATTTCCCCCTGGGTGAACACGAACATGTTCGCCACGAACATGTTCTTGTTCGCCTGTTGCAGCAATTCGTTCGCCTCCTAGGGCGAACGGCGAACACCTATTTTCACTCAAGTCGTTCGCCGAACCGAACAGTGTTCGGTTCGGCAGAAGGCCATGTTCGTCAGGGGGCGAACACGAACATGTTCGAGTTCGCCCCCTGCTCATGCCTACCTTGTGCAAGACAGTTGATTCTTCCAACTCGCTCAAATCCTGAGCTACACATGCACGTCGGCACCAAGTTGGGTCCATCTGGGTAGCACGTGCCATGACCACCACAAGCACCCGTAGCACTGGAGACGCCACAAAACGCCGCGCACTCCGCTGCAGGCCGCTGCTCTTCGTAGGAACACTTTTTCTGAGTGAAGCAATTGCCAATTATATATTGTGCACCGCAGGCTGATGGTGCCAGAGGGCCTGACAAGTAGTTGCTGGAAAGATCCAATTCAGTTGAATTGAGTTCCACTTGGGGGCCTGTCAGGTAATTAAAAGACAGATCACTGCACAGGGGAGAGAAAGGGAGGTGTTGGAAATACAACACAGTGTAAATAGGAAGGCGTTTTGGCGCTATTGGAGCCCAAGAGAAATGACCAGAATGGAAGGAACGCAATATGGTGAGGAGAGGATGAAGAGACCTTCAGATGTAAGTAAGATGAGGCGAGCAAACGACAGAAATTGACACTCCTCCCTTTCTCTCATCACCCTTTCGTTTCTCCTCTCTGTATTCTCTTCTGCATTCATGTTCTCCTCCTTTCCTTGTCTTTCCTTGTTGCTTTCTTGCAGAAACCAGAATAAGTCAAAGGGTCACTCTAAAACCAATTGTGGAGTTACACCTCAGCATTATAGCACCTGCTCAATGCATGACGAGGCAATCACATATCAGTTTCGAATCCCAGATGATCCAGTATTCGTTTGTTGTACCAGAATTTTGTTTTTTCCCGCCAGCATGCAATGTACTCCCAGTAAACTCCTTGACAACATAAATGATGTGCATACTTACCTCTCTTGGTGCCATTTGTGAGAACTGTTGGCCCCAACTTCAGGCACTTACTGCCTTTCATTTCACTTGATGCAACTCGTCTCACATTCACTAATCTGTCTTTGCTTAGGTCCTGTCTGCAATGAAGACCCCATTTATGGTGGGACTAGGAAGCATTTAGAGGGAGCTCAAGTGAAATACTCACAGCAGTTTTAATTGGAGGAGGCGAGTGCGAATGTCCAAAGGAACCAAGCCACTGAACTGATTGTTGTTGAGCGCTCTGAGGAAAGCACGAATAGGGGATCCACAACCGATCGAGGACAAACATTCTTTTGGCGGGATTACAGAAAATACGAATGTGTAATCGAGAGAACACTCTGGCTACTTGAACAGAATAGTCCAAGAATCAAGAGACAAACAAGCAGAAAGAAAGGCATTACATATAACTCAACACTGCCAGAGAGGAAATGAAAGAGATAGATCCATTGAACTGGTTGCTGCTCAAACTTCTGCAGTTACAAGATGTAATGCAATCAACAACAGTCAAAGAGAGGAGTAAGTGTGATTACAGAAGGCAAGTGATCGTGTGGGGAAAGTCTCCGCAGATTGCCAGCACAGTGCTCACAACAGAAAAGAGGAGAGCGAAAGGCATTTACAGAGGGGGAGGTGAGACAATGAAAGAGGCAAAGTTGAGGAAATAAGAATCTGGAAGAGGAGCAAGCAAAACAAGGGATGAATAAAGACGCACAATATAGCATTGAAACAGCAATTGAACCAAGAACATGTGAAAATACCAAGAAACGCTAAAAAAAGAAAACAAAAAAAAAACTTGACATAGTCAAGCTTTCACTTAGGCAGTTATTTCTTGTATGTGTTAGCTGCTGTGCGTCATGCACTGCTGAGTCCACCCAAAGGCACATGCTTTCATTTGGGAAGAGATTGTGAGTGGGTAACCTTGGTCTGACCCATCACGATGTTTGTGCGGAACCTTTGTGGGTTAGTGCTGGACCTTTGGTCGGGCCTCGGCCGGGCCAGGGGTGACAAATGCCCGGCTTGGACCGGCCTGAATCTGGAGTGACTAGATAGCCGGCCGGCACAATATGGTATGAGTCATGACGGCCCAAGTCCGCCCTACGCTCAAGCCTCGTGTATAGCCTACAAGGCATACATGGCAGGTGGTCGTTTTTTTAGCGTTTGTTTTTGTGTGAAATGTTGAAGTCATGAAGTACGGTTCTAAGGCAAGCCATATAATTGTCCTGATTAGTCTGGTGTAGCATCCTTCTAGCTTTGTAAAGTAACTTGCTATAACGAGATTAAGGTTGACACGGATGCCAACTTTGAACGAAGGAAGCTGCCCTGAGCCAACTCAAGAAAAAACCAGTTACTGTAGTGTGCTGTAGCTCACAAGTGATTCAGTCGCCCGAGCGCACTGATGCTATCAGAAATGCTGCCTGAAAGCTGGTTGTAGGACAAGTCCCTGATATGGTTTAAGAGCATGGTTGTGGAAAGAGATACAAGGTGTTTGTCATCGTGCATAAGAAAAAGGGATAACGAGTTACGGAGAGTTTTGAGAGGAAAACAGAGGCAAATAAGAAAAGACTTCAAAGACAACTGGGCCTGAAAGGCAGTGTTTTTCATTCGTTATAAATGAGAATTGATTGCTGCAGATAGCCAGTTCTGCTTTGTGTACAAGAATGAGAAAGCGTAACTGGAGCTAAGAAAGGGATATATCAACGTCAACACGAGGGACAGGACTGTGGAGTAAAAAATATCTAATCACAAGGACAATGCGAACAACTCTGCGCTAGGACCTCAGTGTAGGATGTATCGGTGCACCACTTTCAAGGTCATGAATGAGGGATGAGGAGAGAGGAAAATTCTTTAAAAGCATAGAACACAAAATATAACTCGGCTCATATCAAAAGAGCAGCAAGCAAATTAGCGCTATTTGGATTGTTCTGAGTGCAAAATCTTGTGTCCAGAATGAGGCCTTCTTGGCATCAGTATCTTTTGCATTCCTTTGTACACTCCTGGAATATATACACTCAGCTGGTTTTTGTATTCGCACTAGGCTTGAGCAGGGTTCTGAACCACATTCGGTTCAACAATTCGGTTCGGGGTTTTACTGGCTTCCGGTTCATCAACGAACCAAACCGGTTCGTTAACAAACAGGTTCGAAGGTTCGCGTGGTTTGCTTTCAACAAATTTCTGAGCTGCGAAGAACCAACGGGTTTGAATATAACAAACCAGAGTGTTGGAGCTCATTTGGAGCCTTAGCTCTCTCAGAGTGAAACCAGTTCGGTTCGTTAGCTAATATAACAAATCATGAACCTGCTCCATTCAAGACCAACTCGTTCACGAACCGGTCTGGGTATCTAAGGTATAAATACGAACCAATTGATCTGCTTACAAATTTAGAAACCTAGCCAATCAATGACACAACGCACTTCCTAGACAAACAAGTTACAACAACCAAGGTCTGCATGTCTGTGGCGGCAGAAATGTTTATCTCATACTGATCGTTTCATAGGCAATACATGTAGCGAAAAGAGTCAGGTGCAAAAGGAGAGACTGGTGCTCTGGTTAGGAGCGTACTCTGGCTGTCATGGTCCAGGAGAGATGACTCGGAAACCAACGACGAAGGCACATCTTTGAGAAATATTGCATGCACCATAACATGACTGAACCTCACAGGATTTCGATTCGGGTGAGTCCACTCAGGTTCGCAGGGATGCTGCCTGAAAGCTGGTTGTCTGAAAGATCACTATAAAGATGGAGTGACAGGAAAGACACAGAAGCAGACACCACAAGTGAGGTGCAGAGATGCACGTGAGAAAAACTGGTGTATGTGGGCTAGAAAAGGCAGGGACGACAAGGGTGGGCACACATCGGCGAGAGTGGGCAAGGAAAATGAGCGGAGTGCTGCATCGAGTTGTGGTGGAGAGTGACTGACATTCTGGTGAGGGTGAGCATGGCACCAATCTCCTTGGGGATGGGACCGGACAGCTGGTTGGAGCTCAGGTCACTGCGGAAAAGGCGATTGGAATGACTTTTGAAAAGTTTCAGAATCACAAGATAAAGTTTTCTGAAAAAACAAAAGAGCACCAGGTTGACTGTGGTCGGTGGAGAGACACAGCAGCAGCATGGCAGACTGGCAGTGGCAGCACTGCACTCACAGAGCATTAAAATTGCGTAGTGAGCCAATGGAGGGAGGGATGGAGCCTGAGAGGTTGTTGGAATGAAGGCCCCTGCAGCATAGGAGGGCGGCAAAGAGAAGACATAGGGACAGTCAGATTAGCGAGAGCAGCAATGTTGGTTGGTACCCAAAAGGGGGTTCTGTCCCCTTGGTAAAGGGAATAAATGGTGTGCCGTACAGATTGGTTAGGTCGGTAAGGGCGCCGATGGAGTCAGGTATGGGTCCTGAGAGCTGGTTGCCGTCGAGCTTGCTGGTGGGTATCCAGATCGACCAAGTGGCAGCAAGCAAGGGAAAAACGAAGAGACGAGTTGTTGAGTTAAGACAGTGGGAGAAGCATGGCCATAACAAATTTTCTGTTGCAAGCAGAATCTGTTTATTTCAAAGAGGAATCAGTGTAGCAGTAGCTCGTGGCATCCGTAATGCACTTCCGTAGTGAGGATTAAGTGTAGTGAACAGCATAAGAGTGGCTTGTGGCATCAGGTATGAAGAGGGAAGCCAACAAGAGGAAAGGAGTGGAAAGGGTGGTGAAGAGGAGATCTGGGTTGAGGAGACATTTTATGCATGGCTAAAGGAGACAGATATAACGAGAGCATTAGAACAAGGCCATACAATAATTTCAGGGCTTTCAATGACACAATTGCAGCAGGGATAGATCCACTGAGCTTATTTCCATCGAAGGAACTGTTTTTAGCAAGGGGATGGGCACACAAATGACAATGGCATGCACGGGTGAGTTAGGGATAGAGACAACTACGAATAATGACTTTTTACTTATGCTGTGGTACGCAGAAAGTCTTCCATTTTAGTCCCACTCCAGATGCTGTGGATTTTCATAATCCATGACTTTGTTCACCTAAACCTTCTAATGGTTCATTTCACACTCCATTCAGGGTAATCAGTCCATTCTACTAAGTGGTCTTTCATTTCACATCCCCAGCTGTTTTGTACTACTCTTAATGAGTAAATTTCTCAACCATTCAACTTGCCATTCACAATTTTGATTATCACTCACTAATTCAGGAGACTTCAAGACTTACCACTCTCGCCAGTCTACTCCGCACTATTCCAGCCGTCATGGCGTCGGCGGCCTTGCCGCCTACTGCGGTCTACCCCCGCTTAGTGCGACAAATTAGGCTATACTACATTGGTTTAGACCTCCTCAGATTAGAGTAGGTTAGACATCGGATGTCTTGTAAATCGAGTATTAGGCAAACGAGCATTTGATGAATAATGGGATTTCGAATACGCTTCTTGTTCGGGTATTTTGGCGAGCATTGATTTCATGCGTACACCGAGTTTTTTCTTTACAGGCTGAAAAGACAAAAATGTCTTTAACTTGCGGTGTTGATAACTCACATGTACTTCAATCGACTGAGGTCACTGAGGGTAGCAGGAATGCTGCCTGAAAAGTGGTTGTCTGAAAGATCACTGAGAACCAGAGTTTGTGCATTAGGAAGGGCGATGAATGGCAGAAATGGGTACAAAAAGAAAACAGATTGAAAAATGTGCAAACACAAGGAATAAAAATATGTGGTGAACGGGATACAAGTGAGACATATGACAACTACTGAAAAAAGAGAGGGATTACATTTCATCCAGCACCGTGAGGGAGGAAACGAACGAAATAGAGCCGTTGAGCTGGTTGCCGCTCAAACTTCTGCAGTTGCAGAAAGGAACGCAAGTACCGAATGTTATTCAAGAAAGCGAATGAACACAGTGAGAAAACAACTATAAAAAGGGAAGATGAAGATGGAGCTTGCACCTACACAAATAAAAATGTTTGAATTGTGAATTTACAGCAACATCTTGATATATACAGCCCTCTGTTGCATACCACTGGGAATATGGCATCAGATAAGGCAAGATTTGCTACCCATGCTATCAACGAGCCAATAATAGCTGAAAGACCGCATTTTCTTCTCTGCAAGGTGATTGTCAGGTCCGGCCCGCTCCAGAACAGATGAATTCATTAGTTGTGTTAGCAGCAGGAGTTGAGCTTGGTTTGCGACGTCATGTGGAACAGACTGTGACAACGTTGGCACTTCTGAGACAGAATGGTTATGCATCATAATGGGAGTGTAGCTCACAGGAATGCCATTTGTGTGAGTCCATCCAAGGTCAACGGAATGCTGCCTGAAAGCTGGTTGTTTGAAAGATTGCTGGAAGAAAGGCATGCAAGGCAGAGGAAGGACGGGCGAGTGAGAACATAAGTGAAGAGTGGACAGATGCACACGGCAGAAATCAGGTGTCCGAAATCAAGGGAGGGCAGGCACAGAAAGGGTGGGAGAGGAAAAGATTACGGATTATAGTGGTTAGTAGTACTGACAGTCTGGTGAGGGCGAGCATGTCACCAATATCCTCAGGGATGGGACCGGACAGTTGGTTGGTGCTCAGGTCGCTGGGGGAACAGCATAGACAGTGGAATGGAGGGTGGACAAGGAGGCAGCGTTCAGAATGTGGAAATGAATATCTCATTCCACAGAGTACTGTAAACACTGTAGTGGATGCAGTTGAAGCTGCCTGGGGAAGGCACAGCAGCAGCGGTGGCAGACTGGAAGTGGCGGCGCGGCACCCACAGGGTGTTCAGTGAGGCAATGGAGGGAGGGATGGAGCCCGAGAGCTTGTTGAATTCGAGCCCCCTGCAGCATGGGAGGGAACCAATGCGATGAAAAGGGAGAAGAGTCTGGTTAGTGAGGGAACCAATGCGAGAAAAGGGAGAAGAGTCTGGTTAGTGAGGGAACCAATGCGAGAAAAGGGAGAAGAGTCTGGTTAGTGAGGGAACCAATGTGAGAAAATGGAGAAGAGTCTGGTAGTGAGGGAACCAATGCGATGAAAAGGGAGAAGAGTCTGGTTAGTGAGGGAACCAATGCGAGAAAAGGGAGAAGAGTCTGGTTAGTGAGGGAACCAATGCGAGAAAAGGGAGAAGAGTCTGGTTAGTGAGGGAACCAATGCGATGAAAAGCGATGAAAAGTGGAGAAGAGTCTGCTTAGTGAAGGAACAAATGCCATGTGGTACCTGGATGACAATTTCATCCCCGTCGCAACTCGAAGAGTCAAAGTGTTGCGTAGCGTACAGATATGTGAGGCTGGTGAAGGTGCTGATGGAGTCAGGGATAGATCCAGCGAGCTGGTTGCGACCGAGCTTGCTGGTTGGTGGGTATCCAGATCGACCAGGAAACACTAAGAAAGTGAATAAAGAGGCAGAAAAGGAAGTAACTGATTTTGTTTTGCACGATTATACGAACAATGGTTATGGTTATGATCATACAGATTTCACCACTGGATTGTTTCTACAGTGCATACCATAAATAGGATGTACATTTGTGTGCCTTTCAGTTCGTGTGGTATTCGTGAGAACATATAGGATACACCAATGTGAAGGACACAGATGTATAAGAACGAAGACGAGGGACTACCCAACAGCACAAAAGAGGACAAGGCAAAGGATGGTGGACGCCTTGTAGAAATGAATAACATGGAGTACACTTGGACAAGAAAAAGAATCCAGTCAAATCATAGTATGGAGCACAAAACGAATTATAATAATGAGAAGCTGGTAGAGGGTTGGGGAAGCAGATTAATGTGAATATTGGGCAATGAGCCCGGCTGGGCGTTGCTGTTGCTCCCTTGTGAAGCATCAACAAAACAAATGGAAACCCACATTCATAGAGCCTAGAGAAGCCGACGTGGAACACTCCCACAGAGGAGTAGAATATGGCCCACAGCCCGCTCAGGTTCTTTATGGCACACAACCCGCTCATAGGCCTCAGGAGATGTGCCTCCAAATGCCATGATAGCAGCAGAAGCGGTAGCTGAGCTTGATGTGCTTCATGTGAAATGCACGATGAAGGCACATGTTGTGAGGGTATACATGGGCAACGAGCCGAGTTTTTCGCCTCGGCTCGTACGAGGCACTCATTTGAGGGCGAGTGTCGAGGGTCATTTTCCGTGAAAATAACTCGTCCGAGCCGAGGCGAGTTTCGCTCGGCGAGTTTTTTAAACTCGCCGAGCACTCCTTGCACTGACAAGTATTTTAATAAACTCACCGGGCATAGGTTGGGTTACTTAGGCTGTGTATGTATGGCAACGAGCCGAGCTTCCCTCAGCTTGTTCGAGCTTTCCTTGAAGCTCGGACGAGCTTTTGAAAAGCTCATGCTATTTGGCCGAGTCACGAGCTTGCATTTGCCCAGAAAAAGCTCGTACGAGCAAAACTCGGCTCGGAACAAAGCTCGTACGAGTGTGCCTGGGGACGAGCCGAGTAAAACTCGGCTCGGCTCGTTGCCCAGGGGTATTAAAGTAACTGCAACTCACAGGAATTCCAGCTGCGAGAGTCCATTCAAGCTCGCAGGGATGCTGCCTAGGAGCTGGTTGTCCGAAAGATCACTGGACGTGCAGGGCAGAGGTAAAACAAGATAAGCGAGTGGGAGGAATGGGGAGAGGAGAAAAGGGTTAAAGGCAGATTACACAATGAATAGAAGTTATTAACTTTCAAGGATACAAAAGAAACCCTCTACATCATGCTCCATGATCCAAAGGCAATTATAATGATTCAGAGTGGATAGGTTAACACTGAGGCATCAACAAGTAACCAGCCAAAAAATAACTCTTTCAACAGAGCGTTGTAACCCTTTAACCCGCATCCAAAAAATTTGCAGTCTATCTTCATCAGAGGCGAAATGCACGCCACAACTTGGTGAGCATGGGCAACAAAGGGTACAGGCTGCAACGAGGTTGTGGTGGAGAGTGACTGACAGCATGGTGAGGGCGAGCATGGCAGTAAGGTCCTCTGGGATGGGACCAGATAGCTCATTGGAGCTCAGGTTGCTGGGGGGACAGCAGAGACAGTGGAGTGGAGGGTGGACATGAAATAATAAGGAGGTAGCGGATCGGCAAAAGAAGCTCCGTACAAGAGTCAGAACACCGTGTGGCTGTGGTGGGTGGATTTGCAGCAGTGATGGAGAAGCACAGCAGAAGCGGCGCTTTTAAAGGCGGTAACCTGCTGTGATGTGGAACGCTTATCAATGAATACGAACCCTTCTTCTTGGGGAGACATATGCAAGGGAGACAGGGGGGTCGATAGGAAAGGCGGTCTGAAATTAGTAGTAGAGAACAGAGAAGAGTTGGGAACGGAATAACGTGAGACACCCTGCTACCATCACAATGAATCACTACTAGGACGATACGCTTCTGTGTTGGCGTTCTTGTTGCATTTCCAAATGTTATCATTCACAAGATGCTCACGCCACAAGGGAAAGTAGTTCATACGAGTCAGTGCTCGCAGAAGACTCGAGCTGTGTGCTGTGCTTCTCACAGGAGTTTCAGCATGCTGAGCGCAGTCACGGTTGCAGGGATGCTCCCTCGAAGCTGGTTGCTTGAAAGATCACTGTGAGGATGAGCACGGACAGCAGCGCATTGGTAACAGATAATCAAGCAACCCAGAAGGAGGCAGTGTCGTGCTGATCAAACTCAAGCCACAAGGCATTGGCCCCCGACCACTCTGGCCACCTCACCTGGCTGCACGCGCGCAGTGCCAACGGTGATGCTGCAAGCCACTCCCACCACACACCGGCTTCGCAACATCCTGGCTGCTGGTGAATTGTAGCGCCAATGCCATCCTAAATGCTGGAGATGCTGCCTTTGTTAAGGCAACGGTCGTTCTTCCTGCTTACTATGAGAAGCCCATCAGAACATGAAGGCTGAATCCCCCTGACACCAGGGAGGTACCTCTGCAGGCGCTGCTGGGGACGTACAGATAAGTGATATTTCCGAGGCTGCTGACGGAGTTCGGAAGTTGCCCTCCCAGCTTGTAGTCCCGGAGTTGCCTGTCAGTACCAATGGTGTCAGCAAGGGCATGAGTCCTCAGTAAGGCGGCACCGCATCACGCTCATCAACTGCCACCGTCATATCCTGATTTGAGCCACGAGCCAGCCACCGTCTTAACACTGTCATAGCAACGTCTAGCTGTGTCATTAAGCTTTAGATCCCCAGCCTCAAATCCAGCACGGCACTCCCATTCGCCTTACAAAGAGAGAATCATGCCGGTCGCGTCGCATGTGAGGCCCGTTGCCGTGCTGCATTCTGGTTTCGTGCCACTCCACCCAGCTATGGTCTGTCCCCACGCCGTCTGGCATTCCTGCACGAATTGCGCTGCAGCCAAACGAAAAATACCGGAGTATTACGTAGAATGACGAAGTACTACTATTAGTACGCACCCAGAAAATTTTGGCCTAATACCCTTACTACTACCATCTAAGGTGCAATTCCATTTCACCACGACAGTCTCGTACCTGAGCTGCAAATATTTCAAATCTACCCCCAAAGCGCCTCTCTAGACCTTTCGTCACCAAAAACCACCTTGCGTTAAAAAAAAAGGATGGCAGCAAAACGTGCATCACAAAGTTTCCTGCGATTCCCGAGATTGCGTTCCTCCGACTCGCGCATGATCTCTCACCTTGCGTGGACTCGAGCGGCACGGCGTTGATGGCGATGGGCGTGGAAAGGACGGCGAGCCACCATGCCATTGCCAGTGCTGAGCGCGTCAGGCGCCGCGGCACGCGCTCGCCGCTGCGCTCACGCGCCCTGCCGTTCGAGTCGGTCCAACGATAGTTCCTCATGACTCTCGCTCCGAGTGATACAGGTGTTATACTAGTACGTCTAGATCTTAGCCTAAGGAGCTAGTAGTATAGTGGCCAGGTTGTGAACCAGATGTACTCAAACAGTGCTAATGACCTAGGATATACGCCGCGAGTGGAGCTCAGAAGAGAAGTTGGGCATTGAAAAAGTTGGAATAGTGGGGCGATGAACTCCCCAAAAATTAAGTCGGCCCTTGTCTATCCCCTTGTGGCGAGACCTTGTCCACCAGTTGGGTCGCAAGGAGGTGTCACCAGAAAGGTCCATCGAGTATAGATGACCACTCGCTCGTTACGGGAGCGACTTCTGCGGTTGACAGGATGATGTCACACACGCGTTTCGCGTAACTGTTCACTACGCGATCGTAGTACTAGCAGCGTGAGTCAGGAGGAGGTCATCCTTTTCTGAGTGACCAGCGAAAGAGTCGCGGCGAGTCGTGCAACGACACCCCCAATCGGGTGGCCGAACGAGGCTTGCTACGCTTGCGCCATCACATCAGATATCGGGACGTGAGGTGGCGGCTCTGCTGACTCAGACAGGAATTGTACAGAGCTGCCATAAAAAAACAAGTCCGTCCTATGCTGAAGTGGGCGATAACTTCCGCCAGCGCTGCATTGCGTAGCACTAGGTCCCAAAAAACCCCCAACTGATTATAGTCTGATGCAGCAGATTGTGACCTGAAAAGACTCGCACAAGATGTCCAAGGTACTCACATCCCAGATGTTAGGCCTAGGAGAGAATGTAGATTTTACACATATTTTTAGTATGTACATTTTTTCCTATCCTTTTCTAAACTTTCTCTCCTTTCATTTTACCGATTTCCATCTCATTCTCATTCATCATTTTCTTACATTATTCATGTGTTTACATGCTCTTCTTGTGCGTGTTTATATCATCAATAATCGGGCAAGCCATACGAGCATGATAACATCATTATATGATCCATAATAAAATATAACAATCTCAAATACTCCTTTTTCCCTCTTCTGTTCAAAGTATGGCGAACAGCATCAATAGCGTTTTTGGGTTTGTCAATGCGATGTTTTATAATAAATTAGGATTCGTGTTGGCCACTTCACAGGTCGACCAACTACAAGTCGACCACACGAGCTGTCCATCGACCCCTCCAAGTCGGCTACCCAAAGTCAGCGCCTACAATTCGGCGTTGACTTTTGCGGTAGGAGCTCGCCAACTACCGTATAGTTCCGGGTAGAAGACACGGGTGACTCTCTAGAATTGCTTGAAAAAATGCTAGGGTGGACATCTTGGCAGTTGCAAATTTTGAAGACCCGGGGTACACTTATTTATCATCTATCAATCTGTTATTTAGGGTGTACAGCTCAATTTGGGGCGGGGGGGGTCTTATTGTCAGAAGAGTGAACAGGAATGAATGAACTATGAAAGAGTTGGGTACAAATATGAAACCCTAGAAGGGGCTGTACCCCATATTGGCTACCCCACTACAGCCTAAACATATATGGCATATATACAATTTGACACACCCCCATAGGCAAAGTGGGGGAGAACAAGAGTCACAAGACCAGTCAAGAAAAGCAAAGCAAGCTCAGGGTGGATCACAATGTCACCACACAATCTGAGCACAAGCAAAGGGCCACAAGGCCATGTTGAGATAGAGGCGAGGAATGAGTGCACTATGAAATGAAACAAGTACAAGTACCAACCCTAATTGGGTTGTACCCCCTATGGGCTACCCCACTATAGCCTAAATATATGCATCAGTAATATAATCTTCTGACACACCCCCATGGGCAAAGTGGGGGAGAGCAAGGGGTCACAAGACCAGTCAAGCAAAGCAAAGCAAAGCAAAGCAAGCTCAGGGTGGATCTCAAGGATACCACACAAATTCCGAGCACAAGGTCAAGGCCACAAGGCCAGTTCACATGCAGCAGAGCATATATATAACAGTGCTAAACAAGCAAGAGCAAGGATATATATATATGCAGCAGTACAAGCAAGGTCAAGAGGTAAGCAAGTGAGGCCCAGTGGGCACAAGGCCTAGCAGAGTGCAAAAGCGCTGATGGTCACGAGGCGGAAGTGCCTTGGTGAACACATCAGCAGTGTTGGCCTCAGTGGCCACGAAACGCAGGCGAAGCTGACCACGCTGCTGCAGCTCTCGAGCAAGGAAGTAGCGCAGAGCAATGTGCTTCGTCTTGTGCTCCAGTCTGTGCTCCTCACACAAGGCAATGGTTGCCTTGTTGTCGACGTACAGCACTGGAGGAGAACGAGGCCGCTCTCCAAGGTCAGTCAGCAGGTAGGTGAGCCAGCGAAGCTCCTGGGCAGCCATGGCCGTGGCGTAGATCTCAGCCTCACAGCTGGAGCTGAGAACCGAAGAAGAGCGAGTAGAGCGCCAAGAGACAGAGCCAGAGCCAAGACTGAAGGTGTAACCCTGAGACGACCTCTGAGTAGCCTGGTCGTCAGCCCAAGAAGCGTCTGAGTGCCCAGTGAGCACAGGCCGCTCACGCCCTCCAAGCACTAGCCCCATGCCCGACGTACTGCACAAGTAGCGCAACACCCTCTTAGGTGCATCCATGTGCTCCTTCCGGTGACGGCCGGGAGCAACATAGCGTGCTAAGATGCTGAGAGGGTATGCGAGGTCAGGTCGAGTGCAAGTCATCAGGTACATGAGGCAGCCCACAAGCTCTGGATACGGACCACTCGACTGTACGGACTCATCCGAAGGCAGAGCTGAGAGCGAGTGTCCCGTAGGCAGAGGAGTGGACTGAGGCGAGGAGTACGTGAAGCCGAAGCGCTGAAGGACCTGCTGCACCATGTGTGACTGAGTCAGGGTAATGGTGCGGCGTGCTCTGTCCCGGGTGATCCGCAAGCCAAGATAGCTTGTCAGTTCACCCAGGTCTGTGCACGTGTGTCTCTTCTGCAGCTCGGACTTCACGTGGGCGAGTGCGGCAGTGTCCGCAGTGGCAAAGACCAAGTCGTCGACGTACACGAGGATGTAGAACGGCGGCAGCGAGGTGTCGGTGCGCAGAAACAGCGACGGGTCAGCAGTAGAAGGAGCAAACCCAAGAGCCGCAAGTGTAGTCCTCAGTGTGTCGTGCCACTCACGCGGCGCCTGGCGGAGACCGTAGACTGGCCGCCGGAGGCTCCACTGGGTACCAGGAGGGAACGACCCAGTGAAGCCAGGAGGGCGGCGCAGCCAGATCTCCTCGTGCAGGCGGCCCTGCAGGAAAGCAGTGCTGAAGTCAAGAGAGTGTAGCTCGTAGTCACGCTGAGCAGCGACGTGCAGTAGAACCCGAAGAGTGGTCATCTTCGGGGTCGGGGAGAAGGTCTGAAAGAAGTCAACTCCCTGTCGCTGATTGAAGCCACGAGCCACGTAGCGCGCCTTGAAGACAGGCGGAGAACCCGGCGGCCGCTTCACCCTGAAGATCCACATGCCACTGACAATGTTCGCCCCAGGAGGGGGAACAGCGTCGACGTAGGTGCCTGTGGACTTCCAGGAAGCCATCTCTGCGTCCATGGCTGACTGCCACTGAGAGGAGTAGGGACCGGCCATCGCCTCTGCGTAAGAGCGTGGGGTCGGGATGTCTAGAGCATCCGGGTCTCCCTCAGGGGCAACAAGCATGGACACGAGATGGGGCAAAGCGGCGGCAAAGCACTTGAACTCCTCCTGCCTGTCCTCAAGGACGTCCGTGCCAAGAGCACAGTCACCCCCGACGGACGGAGGACAGGCAGACGCAGACGCAGCAGACGCAGACTCAGCAGACTCACCAGACTCAGCAACAAGACTGCAGCGTAGTCCAGACGACACGCAGCAGCAAAGTCGACCAGCTCAGCAACTAGGGCAGACGCAGCAGCGGACTCAAAGGAAGGGTCAGTGACAAGAGTAGCAAGAAGACGCGTGACAGTAGGACTGGCAGCACGGTGAGAGTCCGACTCCGGGTCGGCAAGTGCAGGCTCACGACGCTCAGCAAGACCTCCAGTAGGACTTGCGTAGGGAGAAGGAGAAGGCAGGGGAGAGGCGGGCTGTAACTGTGACCGTGACGGGACAGGCTGCGGACACTCTACGGGAGGAGAAGGACCAGTGGAAGGCGGGAGACAAAGAACCTGCTGAAGAAGCGGAACGAAGTACGGCCGAGGCCGCGCAGCACCGCCAGAGACAGCAGGGACAGGACCAACACCTCCAGAGGCAGCACCAGCACCAGTAGCAGCTCCAACTCTAGCACCACCAGCAGCTGCAGAAGTACCCGCAGTAGGACCGACAGTCGTAGCCTCAGCGCCAGCACCCGCAGCAGCTCCAGCACCAGAGGCACCCCCGGGCCCGGCAGCTCCAGTACCCTCAGGACGAGCACCTCCGGGACCCGTGGTACCAGCTCCCTCGGCAGCAACGGAACCTCCAGCACCCGAAGTACCCCCGGCTCCAGCAGCTCGCCTCCAGCGCCGGGCAAACCACTCACGCAGCTCCAGAGGAGAGAGCGGCTCGCGGCGCGAAGAACGGTCTGGAGAATCACTAGGAACAGAAGCAGCAGGCGCAGCACTCCCAGACGCAGAACCCCCAGGCTCAGCACCCCCAGGCACAGCACCCCCAGGCTCAGCACCCCCAGGCTCAGCACCCCTAGTCTCAGCACCCCCATGCTCAGTACCCCCAGGCTCAGCACCCCCAGGCTCAGCACCCCCAGTCTCAGCACCCCCAGTCTCAGCACCCCGAGGCTCCGCACCCGCAGCAGCACCAGAGTCACCAGAGACCTCGACAGGCTCGACCGCGTCTACCTGAGACACACCTGAAGGGGCAGGACCCTGAGGGGGGAGGGGGTCTACCGGGGGGGAACCTGGGACCAGGAAGAGGGGCGGGGGGGGGGAGGGACGGAGTGCGGTAGGGGAAGAGCCGGTAGAAGGGAACCGACTCGTCGAACGTGACGTCCTGGGAGGACAGAACATGACGAGAGGTGGGGTGGTAAAACTGCCACCCAGGTGCGTCAGGGGGGAAACCCAGGAAGACGCAAGGAGCAGC